ACTTTCCAGCTTCAATCCTAAACACTGATAAAAGTAAATCCTGTGTAATGTAGCAAGTATTTGTGTTAGCAGCATGTAACCTGTTCATAGGAAATGCTGACCTTCTTATAAGAGAATAGGAATGCAACCCTTCTGGGGGAAAAAAAACCCTTGCCCCTTCAGATATGTTTCAGTGTTACTTGTTATGTTTTTCCAGGAGGATAGTGATGTCACCCTTTTCATCTCTGGTGAATTGCTATGTTAGTTTTTATGATAGTGATACCCTCTTTAATAACATATATTAAAAGAAAGTTGATTCTGTAACCATTAATATTAATCTAATGGAAGACAATATATATAGCTCAGGGTGGAGTTCTTGGTGCTCTCTGAGCTTAAGTGAGTATGAAGTTTACCGCCTGTTTATGTATAGTAGCTTGCAGGTTACTATCTATAAACTGTCATTCAGTTAGGATGCTGATGACAGGTTCTGCTCAGACATCCAGATTTAAAAGAGAAAAAGTGATTCAGGGTATAGAAATGCATCTTATACCTTTCAGCACCTAATTAAATGTGTATTTTCCTGGAATCATACAACTGTGAACCCAGAAGAAGACACAGCTTCTTTAAGAAGTTGCTGACAGAGGTAATGTTCACATCTGCATGCACTCCAATTCATCTTTTCCTTTGGATTCTGGATCTCTGTAAGTCCTACCAATAAGTATTTACATCACTTATGTTTCTTATGCTGGGTTCTGAGGAACATTATTCTCTAAACAATCTGGAGGCTCTGGCTTTGGGTCCAGACTAGCCACACAAATATTCTGTCCCTGAATGAAGAGGAAAAACTGGCAGATCCCTTCTCCAACATCTCACTGAAATCTGAAGAAAAAATGGTTGAAGACACTAGGATAAAAGGTCACAGAAACTATGGTTTTTCAAGTGAAAATGCATTTAAGTCCAACCTTTTCTTTTGACATACATTAGTGAAGATGGTATTAAACATTAAAATAAGCTGAATATTATGCTGATTTTGTTTTAAAAAAAACCTTTAACACTGTTGCAACCCAATATACCACCTTTTTAGCAGTCATAGGCATCTACTTTTCTAGGGCCAATGTGGTAGAGAACACAGGCTTGCTGAGTTACAAGATTTTCTGTAGGTTGAACTCAGTTCCTGATTCTGGTTTAGTCCTTTACAAACACTTTTTAAAAATGAATTCTATTTCTTACTTTTTCTGTTGTAATTCTTTGAACCTGCTGATTGGGTTTGGTTTTCCTGTGAGAAATAAAAAACTTGGAAGCCTGCTGTTATACAACTAATTGCAAATGTATTACAGTCTTATGAAAAGTCTTATTCATAAAATATCCAACAGATCTTAGGCAAAGACTGCAAATAAGGCAGGGATGGGTATTCCATGGCATGTGGCTAATGAATCCTCTCCTGATCCCCCCACAAAGAATTTTGTTATTAGCCATTTTCACTCTGCACTGTTGTCTAATCCGTTACAGCCTTCAGATACCCAAAATGGTAATTCTGCTCTCTGGCCACCAAAACATTTCCTACCCCTAAATTGAGTTGAAGAAGCATATAGTCCAAATCACATATCTCTCTTGTTAATTGCCTGTAAGATTTGTGGGTGAGAGTGGACAACCTTTAACACTCCCAAGTTGCTAAAGTACAATTCCTAATAGCTCAAAGCAACATGAATAATGGTGCAAAATGGTGGGAGCTGTAATTTAGCAAATAATGGAAGGCCACAGGTTTTCTACTACCTGGCAAAGAAATCTGAATTGCCTCCTATTTGTTCAAACATCAGCAATATCAAAACAATCTAAGTTTAAGGGTTATCAGTAATATATTTGTACCAGCTGTGAGGAACTCAGAAAACAAAATTTAAAATTCTAGCAACAATCCTTTTATTTTACTGGTGTTTTTGCAAAAACTGTTTCGTGTGTGTGTACCTTCAAGTCAGTTTTTGACTCCTGGCAACTGCCTAGACTAATCCCTGCAGTTTTCTTGGCAAGGTTTTTCAGAAGTGGTTTGCCCTTGTCTGCTTCTTAGGGCTCAAAGAGAGGGACTGGCCCAAGGTCACCCAACTGGCTTTGTGCCTAAGGCGGGACTTGAACTCATAATCTCCTGGTTTCTAGCCTGGTGCCTTACCCAGTATACCAAACTGCCTCTCTGTTTCATCAGTCAGGATAAAGCAATTGCTCCTTCTCATGCCTCTTTATATATTTCTTAACAACATAAATATGAACAAGAATAGAATTATCACCAATTTTTAAAACATACATTTGTTAAATTTGTGTCTTGTATGATTGCAACCAATGCTAGTACAAAGCCAAGGTGAAGATATATTAGAGGAAACACTCTACTGTTTTCTTTTAATTAATGCACAGAATATTGCATCTGAAAATTTCATTAGAGGTTCTCAGTGGTAATGTAAGCCCAATACTTAATGTATGCTTAACATCATGTATATTCATACTTACTGAGGTAATCAGATTTGCCAACTTGAAGAAGCAGATTTTAATATGCTAAATTACTTGTATATCTTCCTTTTTTCATATAAACAAAACATAATTAAATCAGGAAATAGATGCAGTTATAAAGCCTTGTAACAATAAATACTTTCGATGATTGAAAATTGCAGTCTTAGGTTCAGGCTATAAATGTATAAACCTATATCAGAAAGAATTATAACATTGCAGTGATGTACCTTCACTTTCCATGGATTCATTCACATGATGACTGACAGTACTAGTAATGTAATGCTTGGATTTTACAATTTCAGTGTATTTTCTAAAGGCAATGGAGACATTTCTGCTTTCAGTAACAGTTGACGGTGTTTTAATTATTGGATTTCAACAAATTTTGGTAAAAGTTTGCTTCTGAGTTGTTCCATTGAATTCTTCAATTAAAATGTAACATTTATATTATAGTCTGGCGGCAGGCTCATTCCTATATTAAAACACATCTTCATGTAGCCACATAAATGATTTGGTATATCTTTACAGTTAATAGTGCAAAGAGGCTTCATCACTTGATTACATATGGCAGATTACAGGGAGCATAAGCTATATAGAGAGGGAAGGATATGAGGCAATGAACTTTGTATGAATAAAAATCTACTTCGCCTAAAGTTGGATGTAGCTCCAAGGTTACCAGGTTAGTGATTCCAGCTAGCAAAGGTAACAACTTAATACAGTTGAACAAAATTGGCATTACTGCCATTTAATCTATTTCCAGCCCCGTATTTTGTTACAAAACTTGGAATTCTGCAAGTCTGTTAACTGCATCAAAAATTATATTGTTTCCAGTTGTCATTGGGGTCCTTCAAACAGCTAGAAATGTTGCTTAGCTTTACATCCCTCCTTCTGAGATTTTTCAGCTCTTTCTTCCTTCTTTCCCTTACATAAAAAAAAATGTTGATGTTCTCAGGAGCCTAACTGCTAGATGCATATCAAATAATTTCCTCTTGTATCACAACTACAGAAAACAACATATTTTCTTGTATAATTTTTAATTGTTCTTTTTCTGTTCTTTGGAATTTGTTTAAAATACTTCTTTATTCCATGGAGGTTTGTATAATAAGCTATAGCATAATTTCAGAGTATTTTATTGTGCTCAGCAAGAGTTTGTAAATCTGGATCTAAGGTATGAATAAATATTTTTTTGGATGGGGGTTGATTAGTGACCTAGATCTGTCCATTGTGATAACACTGGAGACTTTTCAAACCTTAATTTAGGCCAGAATTCTGTCTCTTCCCTTCCAGCAACCCCCCATTTTATTAGACTTGCTCTAGTAAATTCCTTGGTATAAAATAATAGGTAAATAATAAATGCATTAATTCTGCTTCCTTTTATCAAATTAAAAATAATGGCATTGTTACTTATCTCCTAAATGAGTCGAGGATAATTAGCAGCTTATTTAATTATGTTGAGTAATATTTCAGTTAATGTAACAAAATTCTTTCTTTATAGGGAATACTCCTTTACATCTTGCTGTGATGCTGGGGAATAAAGGTTGGTAAAACTGTGGATATATCTGTTTTTATAAAAATGCATTCTCACCAGTTAGCCTCCAGAGGCCAGATTTTTCTTCCCTTAGCATTATCTTGAAATTGCCTGAAGACAGTGCTAGAGTAAACAAAAAAAGAATTGTTTTCTTTCCTTTTTTTCTTCTACTCTCAGCTATTTTTTAAAACCAAAAATTAGCTGTGGAAAGTGAGGAGTAAGTGACAGAAGCAGAGTGCAAGTGAAGTTCTCTTCCTTCTCCATCAGCTATTCTCTGTTGGGGGAAGGAAGTAGCAGCTGGATGTCCTGGGTATATCCATTCCACTCAAGTTCATACAAACCTCCTGGTAAAATGTATAGCTCCCTTGTTATATTGATTGATAGTTGTAGGGCTGGGAAGTACTATATTCTTATACTCCTTTTTGTTAACTGCAGTTTTGTTGAAATGTTTTAGAAATATTCCATGCATTAAAAACTATAATCTATCCAAAGAACCTGGAATTTGGGAAATAGAAGCATAATAATTGAATAAGTATGTTTATGAACAAACCAGAACTGTTGGGTGAAAAATAAGAGCTGTTGCACATTTGGGTACTCTCTAAGGCTAAGAGAAAGAGGAGGGTCAGTGCTTGCTCACATTGGTTCTTATTTGTCAGAAAGCTTTGCAACAATTGGACAAGGGTGATGATTTTTTTTTTAACTGACTTCAGAAGGGATACAAAGATAAATAGGATTTGGAAAAGTAGTGTTTTTTCCTGTGCCATTGGTCCCTATTATTAGAAATGTAGGTGGGAAATATCAGCCTCCTTCAAATTTTATAATAAAGGGATTTCAACTGAAAATCACAACTCAGTTACTCCTTTCATTTTTATCTGAACTAAACCTTCTTGGATTCAGCTTTGTTAAGCTTAACCTGAACTTACAGAAATCACTGATATTTAATTAAACATTTTCAAGTTTATTCTAATGTATGGCTAATTATTCTGTAGTTGAGGCTTATATGTGCTTTAGGCCTACTGATTTATTGAAACAAACACAAATTAAAATGTCTATAACTTTAGTTAAAATACTGTACAGATTTTGTATAATTTTGTATAAGCAGATAAATAAATTAACTCACATTTTTAAAGATTTCCAGTGCAGAGAATTTATTTAAACCAAGCATTCAGTGTGCACTTTTATAGTTTCATGACAAATCTTTTGTTTATGTTTTGAATAGATGGATAAGTGTCCATTTAATTATTGGAAATGGCTTGGGGAACAATTTTCTTCTCCATTGGCAAAAAGCAATTTTATATTACTAATACTCAATTCTTCAGAAAATATTGGGTCTGAAGCTTGTTAAATTGGTCCTAATCAGGATCACTTTTTGCCTTCTTAATTTTTTTTGTGACATAAAGCATGGAAGCTGTTAAGTTGTAAATTTCAAGTAATGGGTAGTAGATTCCATGTTTGTTGTATCTTTTTTGAAAACAAAAGGCTCCTAAAGTTTATTTTTTAAAAATAAGCAATGTTACACTACTCCTTACATTCTCTTTCATTCTCTTCATTTCAGATGTAAGTTAGTTGATTTAGTCAGGCATTTATATTTCTAGCATTCTTTCATATTTAATTAGAAAAACAATATAGGATAAAAGAATAAAGCTACTTTAAATTGATTATGATGAAGATATTTTTCTAATCACAAATAACTCTGTTATAAATCTGTTATTAGTGTGTTTTGCTGGCTCAAGTAAGTAAGATACTAGTACTAAACAATTCCATAAACTCAGAGTGACTGTAGCTTAGGAAGATTAGGTTCATGGTAGAGGTCCTTTATGCATTCATCCCATTTTCTGTTAATCGTGGGGATAGAATTTGTTGTTGTTCAGTCGTTAAGTCGTGTCCGACTCTTCGTGACCCCATGAACCATA